TAAAATATATCCTCACACCTTATGTAATAAAAAACAAATAGAAGACTCAAAAATGATTTAAATGGAAGATATTTGATATCATAATATCCAGAAATTATAAATTCAAGATCCAATTGATCCAACAATGTGCATGATTTTGAGGTGGTATGCATGTCTACAACTTGGATTAGCTAGAAATTTTTTACCAATTTTGAAAAAACAATTCAAGTGGCCCAAAGTTCTTACAAAGATTGATCTTTTCTACTCATAAATATTCAAAAAATTTCAGCTGATGGGAAGCTAATTTCGACTAATATGTTGCTAAATTGTTTGCTGAATGTCAGCGTAATTTTGTTTAGAGTTAAAATTAATGTTCAAGGTAAGTTTCCATGTTCATGGATAATGTGTCTCACAAATCTGTCATTTTAACCAAATCATTTCGAAATCACACAATAGATTTCTATTTTGTTATTGAAAATTGAAGCTTATCCCTCAATGTCAAATCACGCAATAACTTTACATTGACGCAATGAAATATAAAACATGTTCTCCATACGTTTACTTTAAAATTAATGTCAAAGCCCAAGTAATTAGAGATATGACAAGATGAAAAATAATTAATTCATCAATATTTATGTAAAAATACAATAAGATTCATTAATATATAAATTTGTTTGAATAAACAAAAATGATGATAGAAATGTATAATTTATCTATCTTTATTTTGTTTTATTCTTATCCAAACTTTTTTAACAATAAAATACATAACAATTAATCCTAGGTGTACATTGATACCTATTTATATTTTTCAACTTTAAGAATACAAATTGAAATTCGAATTATCTTCCAAGGTATAAGTTAGCCTTAAATAAAATGTAGATCAAGTATTTTTGTTCATATTTAAGTATTGGATAATTTTGTGTACCAAAATTTACACTAAATCAGATGCAATCGTTGGATCACTAATGAAACCCACTGATTCAACGACTGCAACTAATTTAATGTAAATTTTAGTATATAGTTTTTGTGCACATAGTATTATTATTCATCATAGATATTATGTGAAAAATTTATAATAAAAAAATTATTAATAATTTAGATGTTATTTAATTGATGTATCTTATAAAAATATATTCAATAATTCACTAACTAAAATAATACAATTAAAGTATTAATGGTTAAAATGAACACTTTTTATATTTTGCAGACTTTCAAATGCCTAAGACCCTCTTTCAAGAAATACTAAAAAAAGATTAGTCTATGACTACAAATTTGAAATAAATAAAATAGTGTTATGGAATAAGTTAAAATTAAGGGTTGACAAAGACTTCCTGCTAACCCAACCCGAGGAGACTAAAGAAAGATTTATATATTTATATCTATGAGCAAGGCAGCCGGAAGAAAGCTTTTAGCATGTTAAACGCGTCAGCTGGACTGACATGTTTAAAGAAACGACTGTCCAACTGTCGTTTTATAAGTTCACTGTGTTAAAAAAAAAAAAACAGGATTGAAAACGTAAGATAAATTGACATTTTTAAAAATTACCTGTGTTTGGAAATATTTTCAAACCCGCCATGTTTTNCCCTTTTTTTTTTATGTATAAAATAGATATACAAATATATCACTCTACATATCTAGCAGTAAACATTGTTCTTCAGCACCACACAACTATTTACAAAAGATTTCATCATACTTACATCGGGACCAAAGATCAGATCCCGCTGTATGCTCTAAGCGTTGAAAAATATGTTTAGTCCCAATAAGCTACTGTAACTATAAAAATTCAAACTTAAGTATTGAAGAAATTCAAATTCTTACCCACCGAGTCAACATCTCATTAGTAATTTTCCTTTCTTTCAAACAATAAAATAAAAAAAATTTAAAATATTCTCGCAAATTTTTCATTCTAACTAAATATATGTATAAAAATATATTTTCTTTCAATTTTAAATTTCTANGATTATCTATATCCTATCTCAGATACAACCCTTTACAAGTTGAACTAATGTTCTCAAACAGAAGGAATCCCTCATTCCTTCTGCTTAATAGAAATTTGGAAGACTTTTCATACTCTGATTTTTGCGCACTGAGCAAACTCAGATCATCGTAGTATGTAGGCAATATGAGCAATCAAAATGCAAAGAANCTTTTTGGGCTCAGGTGGCTAATATCGGTGGTGGTAATGTCTCGGACCCTGGGTCTGACCCAAAACGCTAATAAAAATAGTTAAACTTAGTTCTAGAAAGACTTTACCACAAAAAAAAAGAAAAAAGAAACGAGTCTAAAAATACAAGCGAAAGTTTATTAGACTCCCACTAAGATGACACCACAACACTTTCAACTTCAATTTTCTTCGTAATATCAATTAATTGTGTTATATAAGTTTAAAATTCGTAATTTTTTCAATTCATGGTACATAGTAAATATTAGTTAAACCAAGATTTTTAATATAAAAAAAATGTTTGTGAAATATGTTTTCTATATATATAATCTTTAAAATAAAAAAAAAAGTAAATTTATATGAAAAATCGATATTATGAGTAAAATCATTAAAAAAAATTAACCAGTAGATGCAATTGAAAATTTCAAACATTTGACAAATGAGTTAACACATTATTTGAAGACAAATTGTATCCATAGAAGCTCATGCTATTGATAGATTTTAAAAATCAAGCGTAAATTTTAAAAAATATTAAATGTTAGAGGAATCTATTGTAACATTTTCAAATGTGTGTCACCAGTGCAATAGGCTTTGAATGCAAATTACTAATTGACATCGTAGTGAATGATACTGCCCAAAATTCCCACCAAAGATACTTCCCACACACGGACAAAACCAAACTGTTTCATTTTTTTAATAAACAAAAAAAAAGTTAAACAGAATAATATAACAGCAAAAAAAAACAAACTATTAAAAATGAATGGATTTAATAAAATAATTCAATCTAATACAATACAAATAAATAAAAGACAAAATTAAAATAAAATATTATAATAATATCTAATTTTATCTAATATTTGCTTACTGGGCTAATTTTATCCAGAATATTTAATGAATGAAAAAAATACATCAATCTTAATATCTAAATTTCTAAAACTTAAAATTCTGACATTAGAAGATTTATTTCCATATTTTAATCTCTCGCTTTAGTGGCATACCAATCTTGAAGACACATAAGGGCTTCCACTGTCTTTCCATCCAAGCAACTCCTATGCTCATTAATGACACGTCCACCTATACTAAAAACAAATTCGGATGCTACAGTCGATATAAGAACTGTNCTCGTTCCTTTTGTATTATTTTTCTTTGAAAATAGCGAAATAGAGAGAGAGAGAATGGAGAAAAAGAATGGAGATAAAATATTATAAAAAATGTACACATATTGTTATAGGCATACTCAAAATATAAAATATCATTGTAACAAAATGCTATTTTACATGTTTTGGAGATATTCTATAGGAGTGAAATTTTAGGAAAAAATAACTAAATTTTGAAATTTTTGAGTCCTTTACCTACTCTCTTAGAGATGCTTTAATTAATTAATCCTCCGCATTCGATTTTTTTTTTTTTTTAAGAAAAGCGTTTAATTAAAAAACAATGATTTGTACAAAAACATNTAATGACACGTCCACCTATACTAAAAACAAATTCGGATGCTACAGTCGATATAAGAACTGTTAGTATATCACAAGCCATGGTGAAAAGAATTGAAAATCTACTTTCATATCATTTCCACCATGCCAAAATATTAAAATCAGGATCTTCAATACTTACCATTGAAGCATTGTAATATTACTGAATTTTAGTTAACCCCAAGATGTTGACATACCTCCTTTGTTCAAAATTGAAACTAGCATAAATATTTTACTTTTACTATTACCAACAATATCACTAGAAGCTGAGGGGGGATTAAATGTACCACTATTCTCAAATGTTACACTATATTCCTTAAAAAAAATTTCGAAATAATATTTATTTCATTCATGTGGTTCATGTCCAACTGTCGTTTTATAAATTCACTGTGTTAAAAAAAAAAACAGGATTGAAAACGTAAGATATATTGACATTTTTAAAAATTACCTGTGTTTGGAAATATTTTCAAACCCGCCATGTTTTNATGCCACAAAAAAAAAAAGAAATTCATAATCTCAAGACATTTTAAAAACGATATGACCTTTGAATATGACAAATAATCGAGTTTAACTTGTTAAGCCTTTTTTTTTTAAATAAGTTTAAAAAATTATTAAAATTTGTCTTATTTATAAAATGAGTCAAGTCTAAGCTGAGTTTAAAATGAGCTGAATCTGAATAGTTTGATTATTTTATATATAAATAAACTATATTNAGATTATCTATATCCTATCTCAGATACAACCCTTTACAAGTTGAACTAATGTTCTCAAACAGGAGGAATCCTTCATTCCTTCTGCTTAATAGAAATTTGGAAGACTTTTCATACTCTGATTTTTGCGCACCGAGCAAACTCAGATCATCGTAGTATGTAGGCAATATGAGCAATCAAAATGCAAAGAANAAATAAGTTTAAAAAATTATTAAAATTTGTCTTATTTATAAAATGAGTCAAGTCTAAGCTGAGTTTAAAATGAGCTGAATCTGAATAGTTTGATTATTTTATATATAAATAAACTATATTTTGCAAATTTAAAATAATTTTTGCTAATTCGAGTCAACTCTTTTAAATTCATGGTCTAAACTAACTTATTCGACAGGCAAAAGACGGCGCTTTTTAGGCCAATTTTGATCAAGAATGGGTAATGATCTTTTTTGAGTCAGGGGAGGCGCTCGACTAGCATANAACTCGAAGTTCTTTCTGTGAAACTAAAATCATCTATTACATGCAGATGTTATAGCTTAAAAGCAAAGCATATTATCCAGCGCAACAGAGCACACCTTCAAGTTTAAAAACATATCCATAAACATAAACAAAGCCTAATTCCACTGTACTCCCTATTTTCCATAAGAAACTACCCTGATTTTACTGACCTCGAGTCATCAACTCCTACTTCTTAACCTTCTTCGGCGCTGGCCTTGAAGATTTAACCGACTTTGGGACTGGCTTCCTCTTCATGGGTGTCGAAGCCTTCTTCGTACCCACAGGACTCTTCACGTCCTTTTTGGCCTTAGTTGCACTTGATTTCTTCTTCTTCAAAGCATCAGGAGTTTTAACCTGGCTCAACCTTTTTGTCTTCAACTCCTGTTTTGCAGGCTTTTTAGGGACAGTACCCCCTGTAGTAGAAACCTTCTTTCCATCTTTCTTTTTCTGGGTTTCTTTGGCAGAAACAGAAACCACTTTCACCATCTCGGAAGTAGAGACCTTGTAGGAGTTCTTGACCTTAACTAATTTCTCAGATTTCACGAACTTCTTCAACTGAACAGACAACATCTTCTTGAAATTCGGAGGAAGCTGCTTCGGGTACTTCTCTTCAACGAATTTGGCAATAGCCGGCTGGCTCGAACCGGTCCGATCCTTCAACGATGTTATGGCTTCGGTTATCATCTGAAAATAAACGTGAACTGGAATTAATAAAACATAAACATGACAAAATTAGACAATTGACAAAGATGAAAAGAACAGAGCACCTGAAAGTAAGGTGGATGGAGGGTTGCTGAAGATGCATTACTTGGCTTTTTGGTGACCTTCTTTGCAAGAGCCATGGATGCGTCAGCCTTCAGCGAACTGATGAAAGAATTCTCGTAATTGAAATGGCGGAGAGAGATTGAGAGGGAAAATGGAATGGATAGTGTGCGGGACACTGTTTATAAAGGAGTTTGAAGTCTTAAAATTGAAATTTGAAAGCACTTTTTTGGCGGAATGAGTTTTTTTGTTTGGGGGGTCTTTTCTTGGTTACATGGAGCTTATTCATTGGTGAATCTAATTGGTGGAGGATCGTCACACGTGGGTCCGGATGTGACCGTCCTTGTCAGTTGGCGTTAAATCATCCAACGGCTGCTGCTTTCTACGGGTGCGAATAGGATCGTGGGTTCGTGGACCATACCGAGAGATGCATTCGGACACTTACGACCACATGTATATATGGAGAGCACAAGTTTTGGACCCATGGATGCAAAACGAGCCAGGCCCAATAATCAGACGATTCACTTTTTTGGGTCCATTAAGAACATCTCTAACAATTGAAATTAGTTTAACTATTTAAAAAATAATATTTTCTATTTTAGTTACTTGTTTTTTCAATACACATTTCAACAAATTTTTTATATTTTTTACTTCTTCCTTTTATTATTATTTATCGTTCCTTTTGTANAGGCGCTCGACTAGCATATTAAAAAAGATGGACAGTCATTTGCTGTTTTCCAAAACTCTATCTGGTCAACACCAGATAGCTAAAGTCTACTAAGTTTACCTTATTTAAAATATAAGTCAAATTCGAACTTAAATTAAGTCGTATTCGAACTATGTTTAAATAATTTGACTTAATTATCAACTCTATTTTTAAGCCCTTTACCTCTAAACCATCACTAATAGACTTTTAATTTAATAATACTCTATCTTTTTTATGTCAAAAATTCAAACTACTTTCCCCTTCTCCCCCTCTATCCCCAAAAAAACAAAAAAAAAAGTGTAAAGAGTAATGTTATGCTTACCAAATTTTAAAACTAAAATTAGAATTCAATGATATAGTAACATATTATTTAGAATTTTTATTGGAACCCAAATGACATGATATTAAATAAATAAGCACATGTCAGCTGTCATGTCATTTAAACTCCAAATTTAATCTCAAAATTTGATCAGTGCAACATTACTGGTAAAGATAAGGTGTAATACTATAATTGTGAAGGATAAATAAACATAAAAAAAAACACTCACGTAAAGCTTTCATATTACACCGTTAATGATCACACATGACATTCTTCCCAATCTAGAAGATGAAAAAAAAAGGGCAATTAAAAAAATTACTTGGCACTTGCATACATTTTTTTGGGTAAGTAACTTCCATATATGCATAATAATCTTTCAAAAAAAAAAAAAGAAAAAAAGATTTACAGGACACGGAATCACCATTTCTCACCACGAAGCAATCTCAGAACTCTGCCGTGTGGAGAATCGGGATCACCCCTCATTACGTTCTGTCTCCATATCTCAACAGCTCTCCTAAGCGCCTCCTCAGCCGTATCAAGCTGCTCCGGCCTCCATCGAATCACACCTCCTCCAGCTTCCCCAATCCCATAGCTTTCCACAGTTCCATCAGTAGCCCTTGTANCGGGGTCTTTTCTTGGTTACATGGAGCTTATTCATTGGTGAATTTAATTGGTGGAGGATCGTCACACGTGGGTCCAGATGTGACCGTCCTTGTCAGTTGGCGTTAAATCATCCAACGGCTGCTGCTTTCTACGGGTGCGAATAGGATCGTGGGTTCGTGGACCATACCGAGAGATGCATTCGGACACTTACGACCACATGTATATATGGAGAGCACAAGTTTTGGACCCATGGATGCAAAACGAGCCAGGCCCAATAATCAGACGATTCACTTTTTTGGGTCCATTAAGAACATCTCTAACAATTGAAATTAGTTTAACTATTTAAAAAATAATATTTTCTATTTTAGTTACTTGTTTTTTCAATACACATTTCAACAAATTTTTTATATTTTTTACTTCTTCCTTTTATTATTATTTATCGTTCCTTTTGTATTATTTTTTTTTGAAAATAGCGAAATAGAGAGAGAGAGAGAGAATGGAGAAAAAGAATGGAGATAAAATATTATAAAAAATGTACACATATTGTTACAGGCATACTCAAAATATAAAATATCACTGTAACAAAATGCTATTTTACATGTTTTGGAGATATTCTATAGGAGTGAAATTTTAGGACAAAATAACTAAATTTTGAAATTTTTGAGTCCTTTACCTACTCTCTTAGAGATGCTTTAATTAATTAATCCTCCACATTCGATTTTTTTTTTTTTAAGAAAAGCGTTTAATTAAAAAACAATGATTTGTACAAAAACGTGCCACAAAAAAAAATGAAATTCATAATCTCAAGACATTTTAAAAACGATATGACCTTTGAATATGACAAATAATCGAGTTTAACTTGTTAAGCCTTTTTTTTTTTAAATAAGTTAAAAAAATTATTAAAATTTGTCTTATTTATAAAATGAGTCAAGTCTAAATCGAGTTTAAAATGAACTGAATCTAAATAGTTTGATTATTTTATGTATAAATAAACTATATTTTGTGAATTTAAATTAATTTTTGCTAATTCTAGTCAACTCTTTTAAATTCATGGTCTAAACTAACTTATTCGACAGGCAAAAGACGGCGCTTTTTAGGCCAATTTTGATCAAGAATGGGTAATGATCTTTTTTGAGTCAGGGGTGGTGCTCGACTAGCATATTAAAAAGATGGACAGTCATTTGCTGTTTTCGAAAACTCTATCTGGTGTTGACCAGATAGCTAAAGTCTACTTAGTTTACCTTATTTAAAATATAAGCCAAATTCGAACTTAAATTAAGTCGTATTCGAACTATGTTTAAATAATTTGACTTAATNCATTTTTGGATGAAAAACATTTGTTTTGCAGGCCCCATTCACAAGTGTAGATGAAAGATGGTAAAATAATTATTGCACCTTTGGTAAAAAATCTGATCCATTTCTATACTAACTTTAAATTGATATAATGTCAATCTAAAATGAGAATGATTAGGTACTTAGATTTGAATAAAATTTTGATTTAATAAATTATGTTTTTTAACAACACAAAGCCAAAAAACTATTTATAAATTTTTTAATTGAATTTTATACAACCCAATTTATCACAAAAAACATATGAATTGTCCGGTCACAAAGTACAAACTATGAAGACCTAATTCACCTTTGTCTATTTTGTAATAGGGCAGGCTATGGTACCGACAGGTCAAAATTCGGTACGGTACTGAAAAATATATGTGGTCCTTAATTTTTGTCATTAAATATTAAAAAGTTACTCATTAAAGGTGTGATAACTTTGCCAATAAAAGTTGTATAATTTTTTTTTTGATTTAGTTACATTAAATTGACATGTAATTTTATGAAATTAATTTTTAATTTTATTCANCAAAAACAAAAAAAAAAAGTGTAAAGAGTAATGTTATGCTTATCAAATTTTAGAACTAAAATTAGAATTCAATGATATAGTAACATATTATTTAGAATTTTTATTGAAACCCAAATGACATTATATATAATAAATAAGCACATATCAGCTGTCATGTCATTTAAACTCCAGATTTAATCTCAAAATTTAATCAGTGCAACATTACTGGTAAAGATAAGATGTAATACTATAATTGTGAAGGATAAATAAACATAAAAAAAAAACACTCACGTAAAGCTTTCATATTACACCGTTAATGATCACACATGACATTCTTCCCAATCTAGAAGAGGAAAAAAAAAAAAAGGGCAATTAAAAAACTTACTTGGCACTTGCATACATTTTTTTGGGTAAGTAACTTCCATATATGCATAATAATCTTTCAAAAAGAAAAAAAGATTTACAGGACACGGAATCACCATTTCTCACCACGAAGCAATCNTCAATTTAATGTAATTAAACATAGGATCGAGACCAGTTCAAAAAAAAAGAAGTTTCGACTAGTCGTGATTGATCCTATTTAATTGGAACCACTAGAAATTTAGTTTCGTCCCAATTTTTGGACTATCAAATGCATTAAGATCGATCTCATATAGTCATGATCGATCTTAATTGAGTAGAATCGCAAAAAAAAAAAATAATAATAATAATTTGGCATTGAAATCAATCTTAATTAATCATGTTTGGTCCTAATTGAGTGGAAAAAAAATTGGCATTGTGATCGATCTTAATTAATCATAATCGATCATGACTATTAAATATAATGTTATTACGTTCAAAGACAAAGTTTTTACTCTTGAGATAAAGTTATCATCTTTAAAGGTGAGGTACAAATTCTTTAAATAAGATTACAATAATTAAAAGTAAAATTACAATCTTTAAAAGTGAGGTTATAATTATTTATGATAAAATTACTACATTTTGATAAGAGGTTATAAGTTATAATTAGTAAAAATAAAAGTACCACAAAAAAACGATGGCCGAGGTTACAACCTTTAGAAAAAATGGTATAATTTTTATTGGCAAAGTTATCACACCTTTAATGAGTAACTTTTTAATATTTAATGGCAAAAATTGAGGACCACATTTTTTTTTGGGTACCGTAGCGAATTTTGACCGGTCGGTACCATAGCCTTCCCCGCAATGTAATATTCGGTGCAAATACTGCTTTCCTCATATCCCCATCATACTTGTGGTTCATACCTATATACTTCACAATAGTGTATCACTATGATCAATTATTTTGAGATACAAAGGTTGATCATTTATTTTANTGCCGTCCAAACCTGCGCAACTTATATCTTCGACTGGCGTTGTAGTTGCACCGGTGGAATTCCAGTGTGCTTGGTGCGTGTTGGTGGGGTGTGCAGTACCTGTACTACGAAAGGGTGAGACAAAGGTAGAGGCAAGCCTTCTTGGCCGAAATTGTTCCAACAACAGTTGATTAAACCTTGTTGTGGTGCAAGCTAATCTGTACTGCATCGTTTTTGCGCTTTCTCCTCTATCGTATATTGATTCCGTGAACTTCAGATTCTTTGCTGGTGTTGTCGGAAACGAAGCAAACTGCAGGCATTTATGGAGGAGGAATGAGGCCGTTGAGCTTATGTTGAAAGCAGACTTTGCAGTTGTTTCTAGAGCTTGCTAGACTTTCCTTTTGTGTGAATTGTGATGTCATGTGTGTGACTGGAGTCGTCTAGAAGAATGACGAGTGTGTTAGACTTAAGGGTGTGTTTGTTTGTGAGATTGTTATTTATGGATTGACTATTGCATTTCATATATTTTTAATGAAAAATATTATTTAGACTTTATTTGGAGAACTTATTTATAGACTTAATGATATACAACTATTAGATTGGTTATAGACTCTGTCTAATATTGAAACTCACAATTAATTCAATAATTGTATTAAAATCACATCATTAAATTCCTAAATAAAATCCTCAAATAAAGTTTTTATATCATTTCTCATTTTAATAAACAAGAAAGTTAATATCGGTAATAAAAATAAATGCAATCATATTAAATGTTTATTTGAACAATATGTTTTATTATAAGACTCACAAAAAAAAAATCTATTCTGTCACATTTAATATAACAAATAGACTTATTTATCCCTAATACCATCTTAGGGATATATGAAAAGAGGTTTTATAGTTATTTAGCTCCCTTATACCGTCGGTGCCTCTTCTCCCATATGGTATTAAATATATCCACGTAAATGAGTATAGCACTACTGTTTATACTAGGTCAGTATTAAGATCCAAAAATTAATACTTGACTAAAAATAATTAACAAACAAAATATATGTGATATTCATGCACTGATAAACACTATTCCACCTCTTTATATCCCACTTTATCTCCAAACAAACATACTCCAAGTATATAACATAGGACTAAAGACATCTAGCCATCCTTCGAGTATCTAGACTTGAATCTGACTTATCCCTAAGCAAACACACTCGAGTATATAACATAGGACAAAAGACATCAAGTCATCCTTCAAGTATCTGGACTTGAATCTGATTTCATTGATTATACCACACGGTTAGAATTAAGTCAGGATAGCATCCGAGTGAAATTCAATCCAATACATATTTCTTTTAGGGGGTATTTGGATACTCACGAGAGGATTGAATTAGATTAAATTTGAGTCCAAACCTAATCTAATATGATGCAAAGAAATCCGAGTTGATTCAATCCTAATGAATAGAATCTCATCTTATTTTATTTTTGGATGAAAAACATTTGTTTTGCAGCCCCATTCACAAGTGTAGATGAAAGATGGTAAAATAATTATTGCACCTTTGGTAAAAAATTTAATCCATTTCTATACTAACTTTAAATTGATATAATGTCAATCCAAAATGAGAATGATTAGGTACTTAGATTTGAATAAAATTTTGATTTAATAAATTATGTTTTTTAACAACACAAAGCCAAAAAATTATTTATAAATTTTTTAATTGAATTTTATACAACCCAATTTATCACAAAAAACATATGAATTGTCCAATCACAAAGTACAAACTATGAAGACCTAGTTCACCTTTGTCTATTTTGTAATAGGGCAGGCTATCGACATGTCAAAATTTGGTACAGTACTGAAAAATATATGTGGTTCTTAATTTTTGTCATTAAATATTAAAAAGTTACTCATTAAAAGTGTGATAACTTTGTCAATAAAAGTTGTATAATTTTTTTTTTGAACTGGTCCAGATCATATATTTAGTTACATTAAATTGACATGTAATTTTATGAAATTAATTTTTAATTTTATTCAATTAACACTTAATTTATCAAAAATAACATTAAATTGACCTTCAATTGTATTAAATTAACATTCAAAATTATAAATTTAAAATTCATAAAATTAAAATTAATTCATAAAATGTTAATTAATTTATGAAATTACATGCCAATTTAATGTAATTAAACATAGGATCGAGACCAGTTCAAAAAAAAAAAGTTTCGACTAGTCGTGATTGATCCTATTTAATTGGAACCACTAGAAATTTAGTTTCGTCCCAATTTTTGGACTATCAAATGCATTAAGATCGATCTCATATAGTCATGATCGATCTTAATTGAGTAGAATCGCAAAAAAAAAATAATAATAATAATAATTTGGCATTGAAATCAATCTTAATTAATCATGTTTGGTCCTAATTGAGTGGAAAAAAAATTGGCATTGTGATCGATCTTAATTAATCATAATCGATCATGACTATTAAATATAATGTTATTACGTTCAAAGACAAAGTTTTTACTCTTGAGATAAAGTTATCATCTTTAAAGGTGAGGTACAAATTCTTTAAATAAGATTACAATAATTAAAAGTAAAATTACAATCTTTAAAAGTGAGGTTATAATTATTTATGATAAAATTACTACATTTTGATAAGAGGTTATAAGTTATAATTAGTAAAAATAAAAGTACCACAAAAAAACGATGGCCGAGGTTACAACCTTTAGAAAAAATGGTATAATTTTTATTGGCAAAGTTATCACACCTTTAATGAGTAACTTTTTAATATTTAATGGCAAAAATTGAGGACCACATTTTTTTTTGGGTACCGTAGCGAATTTTGACCGGTCGGTACCATAGCCTTCCCCGCAATGTAATATTCGGTGCAAATACTGCTTTCCTCATATCCCCATCATACTTGTGGTTCATACCTATATACTTCACAATAGTGTATCACTATGATCAATTATTTTGAGATACAAAGGTTGATCATTTATTTTA